TGACCCTGATCTGGACTGGGAATGTAAATCTAGACTGTGGCCGAGTTTTGAGTCTTGCTGTCTCTTTTTTCTTTTATTCCGCACAGGATGAAGTGAAGCTCAGGCTTCATGTGCATGCCTGGTGCACAGCAAAGGAGACAGGCAGTGACTCCAGTGACAGAGCCACAGAGGTTCTGCCCGGCTGTCCTCACAGCTACATCTGTCCCCGCAGCCTTTCGCAAACAGAGGTTGAGAGATGGGCTAAGAAGCTGAAGCAGTGCAGCACGCTAACCACAGCTCTTGGATTAGAGCCGGTTCTCATCCATCCAGATCAGAGAGCGGGCGGAGAAAGCTGACAGCTGTTGCAGAAGGCTGTGCAGAGGTACCATGACACACTGTGTCCCAAGGTGTGAGCTAAGCAGTCAGCATATCGACCAGAGCTTTTTGAGGCTTTAAGTTATTCCCTGAACAGCTTTGGTCATTCTGAGGTCTGCACTCCACTCTGAATGAGGTACTAGATTGCGCAGCCAAGCTGTTGCGCTTTATGTAGAGGAAAATTTTGCAGTTTTGAATGCTGCAGGGCCTGCATGCTGCAGTTTTATAAATGTAGCTATCCATCGCCGTGTCCCCAGATCTATACATAGGAAATGTAACAGGAAAGATTCATAAGGGTTTAGGGAATCAAAATAATTAACGGCGTTTATGAACTGCGCCCCGAGCCCTGCTTTCAGGAGGCTGCCGGGATGCAGGCAGCTGCAGGTGCCAGCAGAGGGCTCGCAGCCTGCCCTGCTCCACCGGGGAACAAGGCTGCCTTTGTCCCGCACGGCCACCTCGGCATCCCGCTGAGCACCCCGCGCTGCCAGCTGTCCTGTGCCGCAGCGCTGGGCCACCGTGGCGCGTGTGAGAGTTGCCGCTTGCTCTGCTGATACAAGTGGCTGCTTGCTGAAGATTACCACTAAAGCACTGGACGTGGAACCCAGCGCAAAACGTCATCCCTCGGTGTGCTGCTCTGGAAGGGATTTGCTGCAAGGTGCTGGTGAATCCGTGCTCTGACTGCCATTTCCAGGCTGAAATGACTTCAAAGGTATTCCTTAGCCACTGCCATCAGCCCAAACTGATGTGCCACCCAGCTTTCTTTCCTTTCTTCTCAGAAGCTTAACTTACCTGTAACAACAGCAATCTTGTAATCTTCCGCTCTGTGAAAGGCAATGTGAGATAGGCTGGGAAATCTTCTGGTATCATTTCTAGACTGTAATCCCATCAGTCAGAGTGCAATAAAGCCTCCTAAGAACTGTGCTAGTAAGATCTTTTAAGTGCAATGGTAAGATTTAAGAGGCAAAAATCGTTGCTGGGAGTTTGAGAGCAATAGACATCCTACATGAATGTGCTTCCTATTTAAAATGAGCCTGAGCTTCTTGTGAAGTCTCTGCAGGAAATCCCAGCTGGGAGATCCAGTGGATCTTGGGGGTTGGAACTAGATAATTTTAAGGTCCCTTCCAACCTAAGCCATTCTATGATTGGTCCCTAAGCACTCACTTTTCCCCTTGCCAGCCTTCACCTTTCGTCCACCTCCTCTCTGGGCCTCTGATTCAATGCAGAAGGGAAAAAGCATCAAGGAATTACTCTTCAGATGGATTATCACTGCCACCATCATCCCTAGAGTTACATTTATTGAGAAAACTAGCTTGTTCCAAAGCATTTTCTTTGGAATGCAAGCTTCACATACTCACTGGTCAGCAAGGCAGAGTATATTCTAAGCATGTCAGAAGGTCTTTCTTTGAGGTCAGAAGAGAACCTAGAGATGCCAGGCTCTATCCAATGGCCTGCATTGTTACCTTTAATTTGGACCTGACTGCCTTTGGCTTAGTGTCTTCCAACCTTCACAGATATTTTTGGCTACAGAATATTGCAACCTCTCTTCATACTTGTGTCAACTTCCCTGCGTAGGAGATTTCCCTCTAAATCCATTTCCCTTTCAAATCCTCTCCAAGGGGTTGTCCTGAAATATAAATAATTTTTCATGGCTAAGAAGTTTTTACATAAAGATGCTGTGATTAGGGAAATCCAAAGGCAGCTGCTGTGCTGCTTCAAGAAGAAAAGGAGGTTTATCTGAGTAGAAACAGATGCAGAAGTGAAGAGGGGAAGAAATGCAAAGCACAGGAGTTTTATTTTTGTCCAGAAATTGGCTAATGATATAAAGGGGTGATTGAAGAGTTCACAGAACCAGAAACAAAACCAAGCAGCCCTGACAACAGAGCAGAGGAGTTCTGGGAAATGTGAGCCTGTACTGATGAGAAATATGAACTAAACCATTTGTGGGGGATTCAGGGCTGCCTGCCTTGACAGACCCCAGTAACCAGAGTCTGATTGCTGCCTTCGTTTTTCTGCTTTCAGCTGTTATTTTCATTACTGTCTGTGTTTCTGTCATTCTTAATTTACTGTTTGGCTCTTCTGATGGGACAAAGACAGTGCTTTGCTGTGAGTAAGAGGCTCCCTGGTTGGCAAGTTCGTCTCCGAATGTTCTGTTGGTGATGGATTGGTGAAACTGAGCAGTTCAGGGAGAAAATCTGGAGCTGGAAGTGGGACTAGAAGGAAACTGGAGATGACAGAATGTTTCTGACTGTGCTTTGGAATAGGGTTGGCAGGAGGAAGAGGACCAAAGTTATTTCTTATTCCCTTCATATATCTACAGATTTTTCTGCTTGTGCCCTTTTTCTTCTTTAGCCATGTGAAGGAATATGCCTGTCCTCAGTGTATTCCTAATGTATGACAGTGTCTCTGCTCACTTTTCTCATTACACTCTTTCCACTTTTTCCCTCTCATTTCTGTGACCCAAGCCTGAAAACAATGTTCAATCCCAGATGGTCACTGATTTCCTCCTTTCTGCTGCCAAGAGCTCTTTGTCTGCAGCAGATTTTCATACGGGACATCACTCCAATATTCTGGATTTATCTCTGTTTACACATGAATCATGAGCACAGTTACGGCAGCTAAAGCTACAGTCCTAAAGTTGTGTGACCTAAATAAAAAATGTAGGTGACATTTAAATTAGTCTTGAGCAACACAAAAATAATGTCTCACCATCTGCAAATCTTGCTCCTCCCTCTGCTTTCAGGATTATTAACAAATGACACTCCTCTGAGCAAACCCAGTATGTCGTGCTAAAAATTGCCCATTTATTTCTGTTCTTGATCTTTTTTTATTCCCCCCCATAATTCTTTAACTGACGTGAGCCATGACATCTGGGTAACTTTGATTCCTTTGCAGTATTATGGGAAATCTTGTAGAGATTGGATGAACATAAAGGTTAATTTTCTATACTATTTTACTGTTGTATCCTTAGAGTTCTCAGACTAAGGAACTATTGGGCCACAGCAGTTCTCTTCCTCTTCCTCTTCCATTTCAATTCTGTGCTCTCTGCACCACCATCACTCATTGCACTCCTTACAAATTTAAGTTATACACATTTATTAGAACAAATTTATCTGTCATTTCTTCTGTCTTAGGTCAGATCCTGGTGTGACTTTGGAAGTTTAACCTAACAATAAATGGGTCTAAAAGGATTAGTGATCCACAAAGTAAATACAAGGCAAAGAAACATCACCTTCTCACCCGTGACCTAAACCTTTGTTTCAGGAATACAATGTCTGAAGGACATCACTCACATTTTTTCAAGTGAAATTGGAGCTGCTTGTTTAATGCTGGGGAGTTGAACATTAGCACGTGACCAAGTCCACACTTGTAAAACTGATGCTGAGTAACGTTCATATGATTCAGATAACACAGTATTAACTCAATGAACTATAGATCGTAAGTGATCTGTGGGCAGCAATCTGCCCGAGTGACAAGCTGCTGAAGTAACTGGAAAACACGGGCTGACTCACCGAGTGCCTGGTGAGGATGAAAACAAACACCACTTTGGGCTGTTTTGCTTCATTCCAGTTGGCACGTTTCAATTCTGACCTCACTGCATGTTTTCATTTCATAGTGTGCCACATCATGAAAACATGCAGAAAGCCACCCCAAGAGACAAATAAAAGTGCTTCATCCCCCAAGTGCCCCACAAGGAGCAACCAAAGGAACTGGGACTGGCTAGTTCGGGAAAGAGGAGGCTGAGGGGAGACATTATTGCTCTCTTCAAATATCTGAAAGGTGATTACAGTGAGTGCAGGGCTGGTCTCTTCTCACTGGTGACAGGTAGCAGGACGAGGAGAAACTGCCTCAAGTTGGGCCAGGGGAGGTTTAGGTTGGATATCAGGAAACACTTACTTACAGAAGGGATGGTTAAGCGCTGGAATAGGCTCCCAAGGGAGTGGTTCAGTCACCATCTGTGCATGTGTTTAAAAACCGTTTGGATGTGGTGCCCAGGGACATGATTTGACGGAGGGCTGTGTTAGAGTTCGGGTAGTATGGTTAGGTTGTGATTGGACACTGTGATCTTTAAGGTCTTTTCCAAGCCGAGCAATTCAACGATTCTGTGGTTCTGTCCCTTCACAATTCCTGCTCATCTGTGCCCACCGAGGTCTCTCTGGCACCAGGCCCTAAGGCACTCCCCACGGCCTTCTTCCTGCGCCGGGGTCAGCCTGCTTTATGCGGGATTTGCCCCCAAACGAGCGTCTGCGCTGTCGCGCAGGGCCGTCCGGACCCTCGAGGTCTTCGCCTCGCACGGGCACCTCAACTTTCGGACGGGATCTGCCAGCACAGACGGCAACGCGGAGAGCTCATGCACGCTGTCCCGTTAGGGCTGCCTGCCGCTGGCGCACGGCCGCGGAAGGCGTCCCGCACGACCGCCGCCGACACACCGCTACCAGCCGGCGCTCTCGGCCTCCGCGCCGCTTCCCCTCGCCAGGGCCGCCCTGCTGAGGGGCGGCGCGCTGGGCGGTGGAGGGGAGGGGAGGGCCGGGCCGGGCCGGGCCGGGCCGAGGGGCGGCGGCAGCCAGTCAGCGCAGCGGGGGCGGTAGGGCGGGGTTTCCCGGCCAGGTGCTCGGCCTCTGGACCGAGGGTGCCGGCGGCACGGCGGGCAGCGGGGCCGGCATGGGGCGGCAGGAGGGCGGCGGGGCGGCGAAGCCTCGCGGGGACGGGTGCGGGTGCGGGGCGGAGGTTGCCGCCGAGGTGCGGTTGTCCCGGCGGCGCTGGGTCGTGGTGCTGCTCTTCAGCAGCTACTCCCTGTGCAACGCCTTCCAGTGGATACAGTACGGCAGCATCAACAACGTCTTCGTGCGCTTCTATGGCGTGAGCACCTTTGCCATCGACTGGCTGTCCATGAGCTACATGCTCACCTACATCCCGCTGCTGTTCCCCGTGGCCTGGCTGCTGGACAAGAAGGGGCTGCGCCTCATCGCCCTGCTGGGCTCGGCCCTCAACGCGCTGGGCGCCTGGGTGAAGCTGGGCAGCCTGCGGCCGCAGCTCTTCGCTGTCACCGTGCTGGGGCAGGTCGTCTGCTCCCTGGCGCAGGTCTTTATCTTGGGCATGCCCTCGCGCATCGCCTCCGTCTGGTTCAGCTCCCGCGAGGTGTCCACAGCCTGCTCCATTGCCGTCTTCGGGAACCAGGTAACTGGTGGCTGCCATCTGGAGGGGACGGCGGGTCAGGTGCCTGGCCGCGGGGACCTGGGGTGCTAAGGGGAGGGGATATGTAGGGCCCGCGTGACCTTCCTCAAGGAGAGAGGAGCCAGGTAAGAGCCACCCCTATGGGAGGGGGTCCGACTTTTCACACTGACAGATGGTGACTGGACAAGAGTAATGGCTTTAAAATGGGAGATTAGCTTAGATGTTGGGCTGCAATTTTTTACTCAGAAGGCGATAGGCCCTGGCATGGGCTGCCCAGTGAAGCTGTGCTGCTCCATCCCCGGAGGTGCTGAATTGAAGGCCAGGTTGGACGGGGCCCTGGGCAGCCTGAGCTGATGGGGGGCAGCCCTGCACACAAGGCAGCTTGGGACTGGATGGGCTTTGAGGTTCCTCCAATCCAAGCCTTTCTGTGATTCCATAAACTGTGGCTGTGTTAGGATTTTGTGCAGCAGTGTCCCTCTCCTCCTGGTTACTGGATGGGATGAAGGAGGTGATCTGTGCTTATGGCTGGGCCCTAAGGAAAAGGTCTGTAACAAACTATCTGATTCTAAAAAGTAAGGCACAGGATTTCCACAAACAGTTGCTTTGAGGAGAAGCAAACTTTCCTCCAGGTCAGGAGGAGGTAAGGTCCCCCAGCTCCCCTCTCTGAGGATGGGTCAGGGAGGCCAGTGACCCACACTGGCTCAAGCTGTTCCATGTTTTTCTCAGTGTCAGCTGACGCTCAGATGCGGTAATTTTTTCACGGTTTTGAAAGGATTAGTGAAATGACATGCTGACCCTTGCACTGGAATGCCCACTGATTCCTGCTGCATGAGGCAGGTGGGCTGATACTGATGTAGTGTGGCATGAGGGAAGTGGCTCCAGCTCTGTCATGTTGACACAAGGAAGAGGAAGAACAGTCTGACATTTGCTGCGTGGCTGGACCTGTTCCCCTATCTTCAAAATGCTGTACTCCTCTCTGCGTGACTGCCTTCAGCTGACTGGCTCAAGCTGTGGGTGGGCACTGCTCTGGTTGGAATTACTTTCTCTGTTCAGGCGGTTTCTAAAGCATGGTTGTTCCTACTGCGTGCAAAATTATCAGTGAGATCTGAAGTCTCCTTTCCACAAACTCCTGGGTTTCTACACAGACAGAGATAACGCTGTGGCGAAGAGCTAATGCTGGGGAGTGACAAACTGAAGTTTGTGCAGCAGCATTAGGCAGACTAACTTGCAGCTTTAGGAAAGAGAAAGCACACTTTCTCTGAGTGGATCTAAGCTTTTCTGTTCACGCTCATCAGTCTTGTGGGCTCCTTTTTTGTGTTTTAAATGAATCTTCAGAGTTGAAGGCACCTAAATTGGCATAAATGTTTCTGATTTAGGAGTAAATAAGTAACTGAACATTTTGCTGTCAGACTTTTATTCAGGTGGAATTACTCAACAGTTTGCACAAGAAATCCAAACAATGTGGCATTCAGCATGTGCTATATGTGTATGTGGAGTCCACATTGTCCTAAAAGCAGCACATTAGTCTGGTGGTTGTGAAAGGCAAACTTTGGCTGGACGCTTTGGTCTTCCTTTGGGGGTTGACTTGACATCAGTGAGACCGCAGGCCAGTAATTAGCTCTTGCTTGTAAACCCAGGCTTTCCATTTAGAGAATCAGAGGAACAAGAAAGGGCAATGGCATACTCCATAGGGAGCACCTATTCATTTCATTCCCTCAAATCAAAGATCCAATGAATGAAAAGTGGCTATTTTGTTAGGTGGTGATGTTGGATGGGGGGAAGAAATAGAGGCTTTCTTTTTCCTTAATCTGCTATTAGAGTGTGTTTTAGGGAGTGCCAGTGAAGGGCATAATATGGTGGGTTTGTAATTGCAGTATGGCAGATGATTCCCTATGCTCTTTTGAGACGCTAGTTTTTGCAGGGCATGCTTGCTGGAGCAGGCAGCAGGCCTTGACCCTTCCCTTCAAATACTTGCTTTGTTGTCTTTTGGGGATGAGGCATGGTATGTGGCATGATGGCACTAATCCCCACCACAGTGGGGATGTTTAAGCAATGAGTTGAATTCCTGTGGCTTTTTGAGGTGTATCAGCTGGAGCCAGCTGGGCAGATACTGGAATTCCTCAGCTCTCTGTGTCAATTTGCATGGCATGCGTTGGACTACTGTGCTTGTGCTGTGCTTGCTTGGGCCTGTTGGCTGGAGGAGCGTTTCAAACTCACTGCCCTATCTCCCTGATGAGTAATGGGCATCAGCAGCTTGTAAAAAATTTTCTATTGCTCTGCTACCGCTGCTGATACTTTTTTTTTTTTTTTTTTAATTGAAATAAATCATCTTCCTAGCTCTTGCCATTCTGTCTAACGGTAGCAAGCAGCTGTTGGATTTGGGGTAAGGGTTGGATGATTTTTTTTTCTGTAGTTTTGATTCTTCATTTTTCTAGCAGGAGTTGATAAAAACTGGTGATGAGCTGGGAATAAAGAAACCTTCTGTTTCACGTTCATCTCTGCCTGTGGGAAAAATGATGTAGCAGCGTCTTCTGGTGGGGTCTGACCTTGTACAGATGCCTCTGTGACTTAAGTGATTTAGGACTTCTGTAAAGAAAACATCCTGAGGCAGAATTTGCAGATGCTACATGTGTAATGCATCTTTGGGCAAGTCATTCACAGCTTCTCAGCCCTGAATGCACCTTTGCCATGTTTAGTGGGGAAGAAATGCACTGCAGCCAAACAACAGCAGATAAGAGACTAGCATTCTCTTATCTCTTGTCTAGCAGTGATGAGGTGAGGCCTTTTAATTTGTGCAAAATGCATGATAAGGCATGAATGAAATTCAAGGAGGTGCTCTTTCTTGGCAGGTCCTTTCCTCTTGTTTTGAAATGGGAGGAAGAATCTTCAGGGGTTGGGCTGCGGTGGGCTTCTGTGAATAATCAGGTCTGCAACATCTGAATAGCCATTCCTTTTTTTTTGGGTCTGCATTGCCCTGTGTGCTGAGTGTGTGCGCCTGTTTGCCTCACTGCTAATCCTCGTCTGTACTGTTTGCCCTTCAGGTAAGGCAGCATCAGAAATTCCAGGAAGCCTTGTGAGAATGGAGCACATCTGGTGGGATTTCTTTCTTCAAGCAGACTTCTAGATCTCTTTGGTTCTTCCCTGCCTGCTGGGGAGTTTCCCATCTCTTCAGATCTAGATCTGATTCTTGTTAGAAATAGAAACAAGTGTTGATCTAGTTGCATTTTCTGGGATTTTAGGCATTAGCGTAAAGAAGATTTTACCAAGGAGCTAAGAAGAGCTGGTAGCAGCAGCAGTTAGAGGTGGCATTTTTTGGTCTTGGCTCCTTTCTCTTCCAGCAGAGATGACGGGGTGCGTGAGGGCACTCAGATGACAAGGAGTGCTGTGTGGCCGGCTCTCTGAGATCCTGGCCGTGGCTCTGTGTGGGAGGGTGAGCTGACCAAGTAGCGACGTGGCTTTCCCAGGAATGCTTAAGCTTCTATAAATGAGCACTGGAATCTGAAATGAACTTTTCCTACTCATTTAACCTGGTGCTCCCTTCCCAGCCAGGCACCAAAAGCAGCTCTCTCTTTTTCTTCACAGAAGCAGCTGGCTTTTGGGTTTTGCTCTGAGGAGGTTGGGAGTGAAATGAGTGACAGCAGTGTTTCTGCTGGGAGGGGCTGCCCTATGGCACCCTTAGCACTTGCCTCGCAGGATCCTCAGAGACTGTCTCTGTTAAGTGACTGTAATGTCCTTGACCCATGTATTATATTCTGATGGAGAATTCCAGCAGCTGCTGAGGTAGCTGTTGGAGCTGAAACCCCTCTTCTGCTTTACTGTTTCTTATCTGCTGCTGTTTTGCTGCACTGCATTTTTTTCCCCAATAAACTGGGCGAAGGTGCATTCAGGGCTGAGAAGCATGAGTGACTTGCCCAGAAGAAGCAGTTCTCATGATCTGGCATTGCATCATGTTAAACAGTCTGAGATGGTAACACAGAAGAAGTATGATGAGGAAGGGAGTTTGCTTTCAGAAGAGCTTTGGTTGTGCAAGTGCAGACTGAAGAAATACATTATCTCATATCAGTGGAAGTGTATATTTTAAAAATAAATAAATAAAAAGGTTCAGCCTTATCTTATCTCTTCATGAGGCATGGATTACAGTTTTTCCTCTCACTGTGCGTCCTTTCTGCTTCTTAAAACACTGGAAAAAAGGTAACTAAACTGTGCTGCGTTTAAGTACATTGACTTCCTGGCTCTTTGGATTTTAATGGGCCTTTAGGGGTTTTAGTATTGCTGTCAGTGCTATGGAAGAAGCATATCTGGTTAGTAATGCAAATAAAAATATACTGCATAGGAACTAGCAGCTTCTGCTTTCCACAGCTCTTCAGCTATGTATCTTCAGTTGGAGGCACCTGCAGTTGAAAAAGGAGGAAATGCTTCAGTGTGGAGTTGTGAAGCACAGATGAGTGGTGAAAGGAGCTGTGGTGCACAGGGCTTTGGAATGCATGTGTGCCCTCTTCCATGGCATTCCCAGGGTGAGTGGTTCAGGTCTGATGCATTTCATTGCCTTGACAGAACTGTCTGAGAGGCACTGGAATGGGCTCGGTGTGTACTGAGCATAGAGGTTCAAAGTCCCTCAATCTCATATGTGTTAGAGCACTGCATGAAAAGGAGAGCCCTTCTGAAGGGGACAGATGTTGCTGCACTTGACTTGTGTGTTTTGTCTGCAAGCTTTTTGGAGAACAGTGTTTACATGGTAGGTTGTGGTGGCTGGCTGCGATATGGAGGTTTCCAGAGCAGCAGCTGCAGTGCACAGGGTTGTCTGGAGACTTTTCACAAAGGATGTTTCCGTCATGGTGATGTTGTTGGATTAATTCTAATCATTCAGGTGGAGAATCTCATTGCATTTGTTTTAAGGTCTTGTCTGAAGCCACTTGTAGCAGAATCAATAAATCTAAAAAGCACTTACGCTGTTGTGTCTGGAGTGGAACATCTTGAAAATGTGATGCTCTCCGTGCTTAAAA